CAGGTATTAGTCTTTTGGCAAAGCCTATGCAAATGTTTAAATGGACTTCTCCTTCACCTAGGTTCTATAAAATTAATGTCGATGGTGGATATAAGCCCTATGGAGGGGTGGATGGTCAGGAGTTGTCTGGCTGGACTGCAACATCCAAGAATTATATGGGAGAAGTGGTGTACAAAGAATATGGGCCGTTGCAATATATGGAAAGTTCGCACCATGCCAATATTATAGCCCTTTTTAATGGTCTTACCATGGCCAATTAGTTAGGGTATGAAAATGTTATACTCTCATCGGACTGTGAATCCTTGATGCTAGCGGTAAACAATTTTGATGAGAGTGATACGAGTGAGGATGATAGTGATAAGAGTGAGGGTTCTAAGTACAGAATGTTTTACGGGTAAGACAGACATGTCTCTCGTTCTGTTTATTTATTTTTGTTATTTTTTTATCCTCACTTAATTATGGTGTATGTTGTAGGATGATTTGGAATCTGAGTTGCAAGTTCACAAATTGTCGCATATAGTTTCCCAATCGGAAGACAAATTCTCTCGCAGATTATTTGGCAAAGTGTGGAAGGGACGACACGATTGCCAACGAGTCGGAAGTCAAGATCTCCACACTACAAGTTTCAAACTTTGTTCCGAGCATACCAGCTTGCTGATACTTATAAGCTAATGTAGCTTACAAAGTTTTAGTCGAGCAAAATGCTTATTCAGACTAAAACAATGTAAATGTACAAGCTTCAAAGTATCGAATGCTTGATTTATTTTGTAGTAAATAAGAATGATGTTTTGTCTACTGATGATGCCCCTGCATAGATGATTTTAAGTTTTCAAAAACGATCTAAAGAATTGCTTACCTTAATTGTGAGTGACTTTGATTTCAGAAAGCACTATTGACTCGGTATTAAATACAATTACTTTACGAACATTTATGTTAAAGTGCACATTTTGTTTGTGTTTTCCATATATAGATGGCTAAAACAAGAAAATCAAACTCCTTGTATTACAAAGAGAGTGGATATTTTGATATCAAGGGTTTATTACTGATTTTTTTTTTTTTTAAATATATGTGCTTGAAATTATCTAAAATTGTAATGATTTAGTTATCCAAACGCAACATTAAACTCTTTCTTAAAATTTTCCATTTTTTTTTTTTTTTTTTCATACTTCGATAATCTAATGACAGATTGTTGCATTGTAATTCCATAGATGGGAGTGATAAATTGGTTATAGAATAATGGCTTTTAAATATCAACCTGTCTCGTGGAATGCTATCAATTGAATGGTTCAACAAATATGCATAATGTCTTGGACATATTTTTGAACGATCATCTGATAATTGGAAGTTATTTATGTTTTAAGGAAAAAAAAAAAATCACAAAGTTTATTTATGTTAATCGAGCCCCATATGCTATGTCATTGCCATGCTCGCCCAATGAGTATAAATCTTTCAAGTAAAATAGGTATTCTTATTAAGTAGGCATACCAATGAGGCGTATGTCACAACACACTCAATATATTCTCTATTTATGGTATGTTCTCCATTCTTCTTGTATGCAAGGATTGCATGACAATTATTATTTTTTTATTATTTATTTTTTCTTGGAAATTGAAGCAATTTGTTTGTGTATGTGTGTGTGTATATATATATATATATATATATATATATATATATATATATTGTATTTATGCATAGTTCATCGTATTGGACGATATGCGACATATTAGTTGGTTCATAACCCTTTTAAGGGTCCGATACCGTATTACGTTAATATTCGTCTAAATCCATTATTCCAGATCGTAAACCACGATTTACAAGAAAAATAACAAAATGACCAAACAGGCCCAATTGGTTGGGCTGCGGGCTCAATGGCGTATAAATTGATAAAATTGTACAAGTTAATTGGTTTCGGTTCACATCATTAAAATCTTACGAGTTAATTTTGTTTTAGTTTAGGTTATTATTTTTTTACTAGAGTTTTTGCATATTCATGCAAAGTTTTATTTGATCCAGTTACTCTGACCAACCAACACACACACAAATCACCAAACCAAATATTATTTATGTTTTTTTAATAGCATGAAACACTACTCTAGGAGTCTTGAATTAGAATCAGAGAAAAACTAGCTTAGAATTTGAAGGTGGAACTACTATGGTCTATAAAAAAACAGCCTCCCTCTGTCCCAACAAAAAATGTTCATCTTCCCATTATGGAGCGCTAATATTATCACCTTTTTTTTTAAACCCATCATAAAAGGATATATTTGAAAATTTATTACTTACCACTAAAAAAAATCATAAAAATTAGACTCTTAAAAGGTTAAATTTCTGAAAAGGACACTTTTTGTAGTAGGAAGGAAATATCTTACTTTACTAAGATTTCAAATCGAGTAAAATCTCATAAAAAATTTCAAATAAAAAGTTAAGAATGAATCTTCACTCTTCAATGAAATAAAATTGTTGATTTTTTTATAATTACCCACAAAGGAGAAAAAGAAAATCAATTTATATATATATATATATATATAAATTCAATTAATACTCAACCCATTTATCACCCATCCAAATGTCACTCAACTGTCAACCCGTTAAAACTGCATAAGTATTGAATTTTAAATGCATATTCATCATTTATGCCATTTGTCATCGTTAAGAAATGTCACTTAATGAAAAATTGAAGGTGAAGTATGTAACTATCCTCATGACACAATATATGTATTGAAGGTGAGTTCTGATGGGTTCACGATCATTATAGTTTTAAAATACGGTGTGTCATAGAAAAGTATTGAATCTATATATATCACTTGCCTTTTTCTATACCCAGATGATGTGAGATTCTGTACCTGTAACTCGCCCAATGTGATAGCCTATCGATACCTCGTACCCGCCTATGCACATTGTGAGATATATATATTTTGGGAACATTGTAAAAAATATATATTTTGTAATTGGCAACTTTCGATGTCAAAACAAGTTATAGTCGCGTTGTAATTTCAAGTTACTATATCGGGATTAACAACGACTGCGGAATTGGAAGGTTGTTCAAAGATGTTATAATTGCGATCATCACAAAAAAGGAAGATAAAGGTCAGAATATACCAAAAATAGTGCCTAGAAACTTAGAAATCAAGTCTAGCAGACTTGAACCTGTGCATGATTCTTGGAACAGGTTCAAGCCATTTGAATTTGGCCTAAAAATCATTCAGTCATCCTTGAACCTATTCCCAATTCTTTGAATAGGTTCAAGTCTTCAACATTGGCCTCGAAATACATTCTGCCATCCTTGAACTGGTTCCCAATTCTTTGAACAGGTTCAAGAGTCCTGATAGTCTATGGAAAGTTTAGTTTCCTGTTTTAGATTTCTCTCTTAGTTGGTTTAGAATTGTTCTAAGTCTTATGCACGAATTTTATCATATTTTCAAAGGAACTAGGACATTCTAAACTCTATATAAACTTTGTCATACACATAGGTTTAGGTGTGGCTTTTGCATAGAAAATTCAGATCCAATTGAGAGCTATTTTTAAGAGATATTTTTATTCAAAAATCAATATGATTTTTTTTATTTTATTTTTGAGAGCACACACATAAACACAAGAGTGATTTAGAAGTGTTGTTTTCTATCTCATCGGAATTAAAGCATAATTAAAGATTTAGAAATTCCGGAAAAACAGAATTCATTCATTCTTCATCAAATTCAAATCTAGACGAAAATGGGTGAAGTGATCACACTTTGAAGGGGTCAAAGCATTCGTAAAGTGTTGTCTAATCTACCTGCAACTCTCCTACAGAGATCGAGAGTAAGCCTGAGGTCGAGAGCTGTTGGACGGGGGAGTCGCAAAGCCAGGAATTATCAGCAATTGGTTTTTAGCAGAACGATAGGGTGTGAGACTGAGTTAAAGTTTGGTATACTTTGCTTCAAATATAGTGGATCGTTTATCTCAGGACTGGAGAGTCCAACGAGGTTTTTCCTTTTACAATTGGTCTATTCTATTAATTGGGATTTCCTCAATAAAATTCCGGTGTCATCTCTCAAACTCTATTTACTTTACTTGCACTTTATTTTTGCTTTGTGGTTTGATTTTAGTTTTATTTCGATAAAATTAAAATAAGTAAAAATTGGATAAAAGAGCAAGTTGAATTTGTTTACCATCACTCTAGATTATCTATTCATATTATATTTCACAACCATTCCGCTGCGCACACTCAACACACATCCGCCAACAAAGAACGAGAGCAAGAACAAGCGCAAGAGGTGGAGCAGGAGGAGTAGCGTAAAAGCGAAAAAATCTAAATCACACATGTTGAGAGTGAAAGTGGAAGTGTGAAAGTGGAAGCGCGTACGAAGCATGAGTACGACACATATTTAGAAGATTTGTGTGATTAGGTCTCAAATTCCATAAAAGACAGAGGGTTCAAATTTCGTAAAAGTTAGTGGGGGTGTGAATATATTTCTAGTCAAAACAAAATATAAAATAATAATTACTATTATTATTATGTCTCAAGTCCTTTTCCAGAATTTTTACTACAATGTCCTTTTTAGTACCGAATCTCTCTTTTGGAAGGTAATAAAAAGGATTAATTAATTAAAAATTTTAAAATTTCTATAAATACCCCTACTCCTACCACCATTCATCACATCTAACACATCTCTATTATCTACATTTGACTTATTTCTTCTTCTATTTTCTCAATCTTAGCTATTATTTTCAAAATCATTTCGATTCCATGGATCCTTGACATCCATTTTATTACAACACATAATTCAACCCATCAAACGATGAGTTTTTACCAGAAGAGAATATCAATTTTTATGGAGAAGATTCTCAATTTTCTTCTCATCAACCATCCCAACTTTCTTATCAATCATCCCAAACTTCTCATCATGATTGTAGTACTAGTGTTCTACAATCAAGTAACTCAAGACCCCCGCCAAAACAACCGGTTTTTCGACCTACTAATTGGACCAGGGCTAAAGATGAAGCTTTTATGTTGAGCGTGGATGTCCATTACCTTTGATGCGATTACGGGGGCAGACCAAAGTAAGAAGAAGTTATGGGAGCGAATTCTGGAACAATATAAACAACATATTGGTGTTCCAACTGAGCGAAATGATGGAGGTTTAATGAATCGTTGGTCGGTGATCCAACAAAAAATCAACAAATTTTCTGGCTGCATGACTACCATAGAAATGAATCGTCCTAGCGGCTTCAGCAGTGATGATATGGCGAGTTATTTATTATTTAAATATAACTCGTAAATATTTTAAATAATCGGCTTTTAATTTTTTGTTAATTTTTTCGCGTAGATGATAGCAGCTAAAGACCTGTTTTGTAGCCAGACAAGTGGTGAATTTAAGTTAGAAAGTTGCAGGGAGATATTGAAACATAACAATAAATGGAATTCACATTGTGCCGAACAAGTAGGAAAAGGAAAAAAGAAAAAAGAGCCGAAGAAGAGGAATGGATTTGACTTTGATATTAATGAGTCTATTGGGCACTCATTACCATCTACTCCGTCAAGTCATGCAGCCACGACAGATGGAGCTTCAACTGAAGAATCACCACATATAGGGGAAAATGATTCACCCGGTGTGAAAGAATATCAACTACAAAGACCAGGAGGAAGAAAAGCGGCGAAGCAGTGTCGAGCAAAAATTAATTTAACGAATGAATTGCAAACTTCATTCGTTTCAAAATTTAATAATATCACCACCCATTTTGAGAGTCGTCGGGAAAAAATGCAAGATGCCCAAGTTGCACGAGAAGTAAGAAAAATGGAGAAAGAGAAGACAAGGAAGTTAGAGATTCTAGAGAAACAGAGACTTGAAGAGAAGAAGCTTATGTTAATAGATCCAAATTCGGCACCAACAGTAGCGGGGAAAGCTTGGATTATTGCACGACAAAATGAGATATTGGCATATTTGAATTCACCGTCTGCCCCAAAGTTCTCATAGGATTTTGTAATCCTTGATCTATTTATTTTCTTATTCCAATTTAGGATATTTTATTATTTAAGTTATTTTTAATTGTTTAATTTATTATTATTTTTTTTTAATCCATAATGGATAATGTATTGTTTCAAGTTCTAATATTAATCGTAGTTTTTTTAATAATTTGTAAAAATATTGTTTGATTGAAAAATATTGCCGTTGAGAAAATATAACCGTTGCAAATATAGCCGTTAAAAATCTAACCATTACGAATATAGCCGTTTAGGAAAAGTTAAAAAAAATAATAATAAAAAAAATAATTAATTTTAATTTATTATTATTATTATTTTTGGAGAGCGAAAATTCGGAGAGCCTGATAGAGTGCACGTTTTTTTAGAGCGAAAGCTGCTAACGTGGCTCTTAGAATTGCTGACGTGACTTTTGGAAAAGTTAATGTGACGTTTTTAGAGAGCTAAAATCCGGAGAAGCTGGTGCAAATAGCCTGAAAGAACAAAAAACCTCTACAGAGAGAGAGACGAATCTTGGTTTGGTCATCCCATAAACCCAATGTCCTGGTTTGGCCCAAGGAGGCTTTTTTGGGCCATTTATGTTTGGTCCACATGATCGCCAATCCCAACTATCCTAGACTGGCTCTAAAATCCAATGGCTCACATTTATTCACTCAAATCAAATCACTGCCAACTCAATTATAGCTTGTAAGTCCCTAAAAAAGACAACCAAAAAAGCCTATAACCACTCCTCCTCCCTCCCTCTACCCGCCTCTCCCTCCCATCTCTCTGTCTCTCTTTTCTTTTTGTCTCTAATGCTATGTTTGCTTGGTACAGTCGGTTTGATGGGAAAGGATAATATTAATTATGATAAAAAGGGAAAAGAAAGATAATTTTAATCTCATATCATATTTGGTTGATTAATGAAGTAAAAAAAAAAAAAAAAAAAAAAAAAAAAAAAAAAAAAAAGGAAGGGCAAGATAATTTTAATCTCATATCATATTTGGTTGATTAAAAGAAGGATAAAATCATGTTTGGAAAAGAAAGAAAATTATTTTAATAAAATTTTTATTATATCCTTGAATATTTTAAAGGGTAAAATGCAAGAAACCCACTTGAAGTATGGACCAAGTGCAACTAACCCCCTGGAATTACAAACAAGCCCCTTCAACTATGAGTTTTGTGCAGTCAAAGGACAGATAAGGTTTTCCAGCCCACTTCTATTGCCGGAAGTTGAAAAAGACCTTTTTACGCTTTAAATAAATCATTGCCGAGTAACCTTAAGTTATTATTATAAAATTGACTAAATACATAGGAACAGTGTAATCATAAACACCAATTAAAATTGGACACCTCAGAAACTTCATGATGAGCACTGAAAAGTGCGTATTTAAACCCCTTAAGCTTAGGCATTTTAGTACCTTTATCTATCTTACTTTACCGTTTTAGATTGATTTCGTATTATTTTCATTTTCAGGCACTTATCCCGAAAATAATATAACTCAGCCAAATAAGAGCTTAATTGAAGCAATTATGAGATTAAACAAAGAAATGAGCAAAATGGAGAAAGAAAGAAGCAAAATGAAGCAAAGCAGCAAGTTCGATCGATCCAAGTTCAAGGTTCGATCAATCGAACATTGATCGATCTCAGCACTTCAAGATAGATCCAAGCCTTGACCCAAAGCACTTAAGTCCAAAAGTTCAATCGATCCAACATCATTCTTCAATCGATCGAACACCTTTGTCCTTATCCAAATGATTGATCATATCCACAGCTGTACCACTCACTAACCATTTTTATCCTTTTCCCATAAATATTTCCCATAAATATCTCAGATTTGTCTTTTTCTAAAAAACTCAGCCAGTTGGATCGATCCAGCCTAAGTTTGATCGATCTCACTTACTTTCGATCGATTGAACTTCCTCCAATGCGAAAAAGTTAAAATTCCATCTTATTGAAAGTTGTCCTTTATTCAATCATTAGGGAATATTGTGTGCACGATCCCAGCTCATTTTGGGTGTCATTTTGACCTACCTATATAAGGATAAGGATTGCTTTTTCAAAAAAAAAAAGGAGAAACAACATATTTTTCATATCATCTCTTGGAGAGGAAGTTGAGAGGAGGAGGAGGCTAGAGACACCATTGGAGATCTTCATCAACATGGAGCAAACCTCTTCCATGGAGTTAGTCCTTGAGGGTTGGAGCATCCTATAATACCCTTAGTTTTCAAAATGATAAGAGTGGAAATTAACTTTTTATTTTATGTGCTTAGGTGTCAAATTGTTTTAAATTAATTATTTTATTTAAATTATTTGTTTTAATTATTGTATTTAAATTGTGTCGTTTGTTTAATGATGTTATTTAAGTGTATTTTATTTATTTTAATTGAATTACTTGTTTTAATTGTTTTAAATTGTTTACTGGTTTATTTAATGGAATTAATTGGGTTACATTAGTGTTTTTAATTGTAATATTAAATTAGGGTTTTAGTTTTTATGGGTCACGTCTTTGGCCAACTAGGGTTTTAGTTGGGTTTTCGGCTTTCATTACATGTAGACTTAGGGTTTATATTTGTCTATATATATATATATATACTGTTATAAGTTTACAAAGGGGTTTTGGAGAACTCTGTTCGTGTACAGAGACATAGAGAAACAGAGAGGGAATTGTGAGAAACAGAGAGAGTTTAGTTAGGATTTCGGCCATGAACCAAAGCTGAATCAAGGAGAGGAAGAAGGATTATTGCTCTTGGGTTGAACCTAGGGCAACAAAGGAGTGGAATACACTCAGGGGGTCGCCGGAAAGTCTAGACAGAGGATGGTTAAAGATTTTAAACCGAAACCTTAAGAGCCGAGTTCTTTCCTTTCTCTCTCCCGTTGCCTGTGTTCTGTGCATCCCTAGACAGTCTCTAGGGTTTAATTAATCAGTAACTGGGATTTACATGTTTACAATATGCTATATTGATGATCTGTAAGTGTTGAATTAAATTCTATTACAGTTAGTGCATGTTTAGTTCAGTTCGTTTCTTTAAGCATGCTAAATTGTTATTGTTATTGGTTACTATAATTGCTTCTAATCACTGTAAACAAACCATGGGGATGATACTAGGATTAGATAAGACTCCTAAGTTCAGTATAGAAGAAGAACAGAAGAGGTGGAAGCAGTCGGAGACGAGGCAGAAGGGCGTAGAAGTTGCAGAAGTGCAGACGGCTCTCAAAGGAGTGAGAGCCGGTTCTCTAAAGGAGAGAGCCGGCTCTAGGGCAAGGAGAACCGGCTCCCCTTGTGGGAATGCCGGCTCTAGGCTAGGGAGAGCCGGCTCCCTCTTGTGGGGAGCCGGCTCCATGCAAAAATTGCACCTGTAGGTGCAGTTCTGAGGGTTTTTTTGAATTTTCAGGGGCTGTGGGGCAAATCTGGAATTGTAATTGGGCTTCTATATAATTTTGAATAACATGTTTAAGTCCCAGGATGGTTAGTTTATTCAATTAAGCTAAATTGACATCATGAAATTTAAATCGCTTAATTGTATGTTGTCCATGGAAGTAAAGGATTTAACTGTAGGTTGCTGTTCTAACAAGTATTACGGGTTGGTATGATTATATTCTAAATGTAATTTAGTATAATATGCTCTGTTAGGTATCGGATTTGTAATATATCAGTCCCTGGATTGTTAGTTATTTAATCGCATACTGTAACCGGATAGGGAATATTTAACTACTTGTTGTGAATCTAGCAAGTTAAAGGATTGGTATGATTGTACGCAAATATAACTGAATGTAATATGCGTGGTTGGTTTTCTAGTTTAAATTATATTATTCTCGAATTTATAAATTGACACTTTACTATTGATAATGTTGTCAACTGCTGGACTGTATTAGGGGTTAGTTGAACTTTAAGTTAGATAAATTAAAGTATCAATGACATAGATGGATTCTGGATTTTAACTTGATGAAACATTAAACTTTATCTCGTTAATTACATGGATGGATTCTAGATTTTAACTAGATAAAACATTAAACTTTGTCTAGTTAATTACATGGACGGCTTCTGGATTTTAACTTGATGAAACATTAAACTTTGTCTCGTTAATTACATGGACGGCTTCTGGATTTTAACTTGACAAATTAGTAAACTTTGTCTCGATTAATGACATGGATGGATTTTGGATTTTTAGTTGATGACTTGTTTAAACTCTGTGTTTATCAACTATATGGATACTGTGAACTTTATTTGATGTACTACTTATAATGTTGCATCATTTACGGATCATATGCATGGTATGTACCGGTATAGGACGGTGACATACGGAGGGACGGATTAGATCAAAACACTAATTCCAACCCATTCATACATACGGAATGGATTAACTAAAACAATTAAATCCTACATGGTTTCATGTCCTGTCAACTAAAATAGTTGAACGACAACTGGATGGTTGTTTATATTTCTGCGTTAGGATGGATAGGGTTTTAACTAAAACGTTTAAATCATGATTATATGTTGTGTCTTGACCAATGAACTATTGACCGACACAACATTGTATTTGGAAGGAACTTATATATATAATTGGAGAAGGGATTTAATTAAAATATTTAAATCCTACATTGGTTTAGATGGGAATTTATATATATAAATTATGGTACTGCGATTTGAGCTTGAGTCTCATAGTCGACGGTTAGGGTGCGCATATGCAGTAGGATGCGTAGCTAGCTATGTTGGTTGAGGTATACCCTGCTAGGCTTAGGTAGTCATACCCACTCAGGTGCGTATTGCATGTTACCTTCTATTCAGGTTGAGACCCTCAGCATAGTTAGTGAGAGTCCTGTAGTGTGGATATATATTTATCTATTACGGACTATATAGATATGTTTGAGACGTCTAGGATGTATCTGCGTATGGGTCTCTGTTTGGATTGTAGTTGGGATAGAACTTGTTCGTGGGCCTGACCCACTATTATTTTTCAGGTAACGGACAGTTCCAGGTCTTAGATCTTGTTCGTGCTGAGCAGAGACGACTT